AACGTCATTGTTTGTTGACCCGAGCATGTAGTCCGAAAACAGTGAAAGCGTTCTATGGACATGAATATCCCGATTCCTGACCCCATACACGACCTCATTCGTTTGGAGTGATTGGAAGTGAAATGAGCCTGCAAATAATTAGATTCAATCAGTGATAACTGGAAATTGAAATCACTTCAGTTCAGCCTGACTGGGACCAAAACAAAGTCCCAAATAATACTATTATTCAAAGTATGTTTGTATGCTGCTCCGGTGTTAATAGTTGTTGCCACTACGAAAGGCTGTCACCTGATCCGGTCAGACAATACAAACTACATAGCATCAAAAAAATTATCCACAACCATATTGGTTCAAGCAAAAAGCTTTGTTTTTAGTTGCCTTCGAATTGATGGTGGGTGTAAAACCTAGGAACTTCTCAAATAGGCTCCCCACTAGTTCTGAAAAGGCAGAGGACGATTGATTTCGTTCGTTTTGTTTTGTCCTCTTTCAAAGAACGACGTACAGAATCAATTATGTACCAACGAGAAACTATCAATACGTGTTTCAGTGAATTTTGATCCGTCCCAAAGAATGCAACACGTAGAAAACAAGTAAAGAGTACTTTAAGTAGATAGAAACACAAAAGTATGAAAGCTGTTGAGATAAGAATTAGTTAAGCATGGGTTTGTTTATCTTTCAGTCCACGCGGATACAATTACCACCTTCAGTGAACAAGGTGCCGGCACTGTGTCGGGGCTGGAAAATTCCCCAGTAAATACGTCAACACCAAAGTGAAAGTCCTCACCGTTTTATCCCATGGGAAAGTACTTTATTAACATTGACCAATGACTAGTCCGGATGCGCCACATATTAGGATGCATACATTCATGAGCCAATCCGTCCATCACACACCCCTCTTCACATCGACCAATGAGGGATCATTTACTGTCGACTATTTAAACCATCAACCACCAATCAATCATCGACATAATGTGATCCACTTCAGTCAATCTCACTAAGCAACCTTCATATGTGTACACGCTCTCCTGCGCGTGCCATATAATGTCAGCTGCTGCTTTAACTGTAGACGGATGAGGTTCCACGATTTATTTTCATTTGGGTAATGGACGACCGAGGAGTTAATCATTGGTGTAAACCCAAGACTTTCGTAATAACAAAACCAAAATGGATGGAAAAGTAAAAAGAGATAATTCCATGAAGAAACTGGTAGATACTTTTCATCGTTTTATGATCCAAAATCAAGCTTCAATGCACATCTGTAATCGATTCATGCTGATCAATTGGAAAAGAATGCCATGACCAACTTTGTGTTTAAAATACATTATTTGTGAGTCTGTCACGTGTGCACACGATCAACGAAACTGTAGAAGTCGATAATCATGCTACATTTTACGAACGGGTGTGATATTAAAACTTGAATGCATTTTACTTTTCAGCTTGGATCGGCTGTACTATGTGACACACTTCTTCAATCAGCAATGGAATAGTGTGTGCCTTACAGCCAATTCAACGTAACAATAATGTTCTCGCTTATCTTATATGCAAAGGACATCAAAACCATTTCTAACTGGTTGATGATAACGTCGAGAAAATCGAAAATAACGGACATTTTATTTGTCAGTCAACTAAAGTTCCGGCATATGTGAGTGTGCAATTCGCACTAAACAGATTTCCGATTTCGGCGCGCGATGAATCAGCACTGATTTGAATTTAAAATGTCACGTTCAAGGTTGGAGACCCACATGAAATTAAAATGACCACGCGGTTAACTACTCTGTAACTGGTATTAAAATTGTGTTTTGATTTNAGGTTTTAAAGATTGACGCGAACGAAGTGGGAGAGTGAGGGAAAATGGATAACTACGAGACAGGACATCGGATCGGATGACGAGATGAGGGGAATGTAATACAATCTTAAGTCAAATTTTTTGCATCTTTAATTATTATCAATTTACTGGCAACATTCTTCGAGCTAAATCTCAATTTACAGGTGACTNGACTAAGTTTTCCTTCCTTCGATGAAAACAGATCATAATCCAACACAATCCAACAATACCCATCAGCGCACGTTCATTCTGATTACGTGATTCTGCAAGCCCCTGAGCATCTACCTCACTTTATAAAAAGTGGGTCAAACTGGTCGATAAGACCTTCGCATTGTCAATTAAATTTGTGATCATCACTTCGAGAGTGAATGGAGGTATGCATGGTATTTGATGTAAGACTTGGCCAATCTAGTTGAGAATTGTGAATCGTTAAATGCATACTTGCCATTGTTTGGGAACTTGTGGTTCTTTAGGGACACGCATTTAGTTATGATGTATTTTCCGGAATTGAGTTTATTTTGTTTCATCTGAGCTAGCGCAAACCAGAAAAGCCAGTGAGAGGAACTACGTTTACTACCGATCACGACTGAAAAATTGAACAATAGACCAATTTCTGCAGGGTTATGATTATGGATCCTGCTTGGTCGTGATCCGCCATGAATGGGAATCCAAATCAATAACCATCTTTTCCAAAAACCCGTAGCCTCTTAGCCTCGACCCGTAATCCTTCAGCCAAAACCCAAAATCTTTTATCCTTAACCTACATTCCTTTAGCCAAAAGCCAATGTTTTAACCGTGGCCTTAGATCTTTAGCCTTAACGCACAAACTTCAGTCATACAGCCGTAGGTGACTGTGATCAAAAAGTATCGGAATGTTCTGAGGTCAACAAATGTTGATCCAAAGTGGGCTGTAAAGCCGTCCGAAGCCTCCCACCCAGAAAAGGACCCAACTTGAACACAATGGCATGTTGACCTGTCGCTGGTATCTTGAAATATGAATGTCATCGAAAGATTTCAATGGGTTTCTATCAAGCTGCTCTACGCTAATCGCTACTGAGTAACCGGGTGTCCCAGTGGCTTTTATCTTCGACAACGAACCAAATCCGATTTTTCCACCATACAGTCCTTTTTTTAATCCACTAGAAGTGTTCTTCAGTAAATCCAAACAGGCGAGCGTTTTTCATCCTTTAAATCGCTTATTATTTAGCACATTAAAATCTGGCTCACTGAAAACACCGAGACCATTCGAGATGTGCCAAATGGTTTGACATTATGGGTAAATCGTTTAAACCTACTCCAATCGATGCGATGCAACATTTGATACCGTTACTACAGTTAACCATACAGCATACGATTTCCACACCCTCTTATTTCTTAACCAAGCTTTGCAATATCAAAATTTGTAGCAAATAGATTTTTCAACATTGGTTGATCTCAGTATATTCCGATACCTTTTGATCTAACTCGCTTACAGTGGTATGACCAAAGTTTGCGCGTCGAGGCTGAAGGACTACGGGTCATGGCTAAACATTGCGGATTTTAAAAGATGGTGAGTTGAGGCTAAAGGATTACGAAATCGAGGCTAAAAAGTGACAGTTTTGGCCAAAGCTTGATGGGAAAAGGTGTTGCAAGACGGTTTCGCTCTTCAGTATATAGGTGTGAAAAGCCTAACCATCAGTTGCGCCGCACGCGTTCACACCGTATCCTTCGAACATAACAGACACTAAGAACCGGTGAACAAATTATCATTTATACATACCCGCGTTAATCAAAGGTTCACGAATGTAATATTCTAGTAATGCCTTCCGTAAGCGTAGTGCTCTCATTTCAGTCTGAAAAGCTAGTCCAGAAATAAGTAAGCTCCACATCCACCGTGAGTATCAAACACTAATAAACGATCAGAGCACTAAAAGGTTATGGCAGTTTTAAAACAAGCAGATCACTGTTTACGGAATTCAAACTGATCAGCCTAGCGATGATGTTTGAAGTGAATTTCCTCGTGCAGAACTAATGGACAAGATTCATGCCATAAACGTTTCCGTAGTTTTCAAGGGAAATTCGGCAAACATCAAAAAAGACACGAGGGAAACCTGAAGAATACTGTCATCATCATCATCGTCATCATTCACCCTGAACGCGGATACCTGCTGCGTTACTTACAACCGAATAGACGGAGCCCGGAACGCATTGCGTCCACAACTGAGGCAACCACCAAGAAAGACCCTACGATTTCCATGTTCGAGCCCAACTGCTAATGGGACACATAAATTCAGTAAGGGAGAGAAGATTGTCTGAGCCAGTTCTTGACAATTCCGCGTCACAAGATAATAAACCAAGGGATTTTTCATCCGAATGATAAACGAGAAAACATATCTGTTCTCTGTATTAATCAATGGGGTTTACACGCTACCACCACCACCCCGTCTCTGTCACTCGATCATACCAATTGCTTACCTAGCCAGGTGCAATTGAATAGACCGCAGACAGGGAAAACTCAGAAATTTCAGCTTATTTCAACCCAAATAAATTGTGAATAGTTGCGTTGTTCAAAATTCGTCAAAATTATCCCACGTACAACGCGTACCAAGTGGATAGATCACAGGTGAATCCGGTTATAAACAAACTGGTGTGCGCGAGTGTGTGTGTGTGTGGTCCAGTGTTTTTCTTTCTTGATCGATGAAAAGCGGGAGGAGGCGAGGAGCAAGTAAAGTATTCAGATGGGCAATGGAATCTCACGTTAATTTTTTTTTTCTCAACTGGAACAGTGGAACACGAAACCAAACTGGAAGGAGGAAAGAGGTAAGACGACAGGGAACAACAATCACCCAAGTGAGGAATAGAAAGGTACCGTTCTTGGGGGGGAGGGGGGCTCGAGATGAATGTTGGTACACACATAAATACAATCAGTGAAAAGTGGAAAGAACTTTTCGAACTGGAACGGAACGGAACACAAAACACAGGCAAGAGAGAGAGTTGTTTTTGAAGAAAAAACAAAAACAAAAAAATTCGACAGCAAATAAGGCACAGAATAAAACGAGAGCTATTAAATTCGTGACCGCATCTACGATATGTGTGTGAATGGGCAAGTCTACCTTGATCGGACAGAAACAGAGAAATGGACAAGAGTGAGTGCAACCGATGAGCAGAGAGACGCGTGGAGACAACACCGATCAGGTCAATGGAACTCTGTCGGCAAAACTTCGGGCACGTACCGTCGGGTGAACAGGAACGCAGCAGCGCAAAACACTGCGAATATCCAAAATACCACAGCCGAGCCCAAATGCAAAACGAGCGGTTCGAACATGGCCGTGACAACCAGACTGACCACCCAACTCACAGCCACGACAAATCCGACTGCAAATCCCCGAGTCGACGTGGGGAACAGATCCATGGTTAGCAAAATGGGCAAAGGACCCCAGCCGATGGAGAATCCGAACAGGAACACGACGGCACACGAAATACCACCGATATTGAGTAGGATGTGTGGCGAGCCAAACTGGAATGCGGAAGTGGAGATATAAGCACCGTATTGATGTAAACTAATTTGTGGAAATAAGTCACTTATAGTGTGACCAGAACCGAACAACGCAAGTAATTCAACGGGAACGCGAATCACACGAACGTCAGATGGAAATTCGAATGATGATGATAACAGACCACCTCTTTTGAGGGGTCAGCTCACAGAATAGAAGAACGAGTCACGGAAAACAGACGCGAAATCGGGGTCGGAATGCCAACGTCCTAGCAAGATAATCTGAAAATGTCACGAGAGCAATCAGATTTTTCGAATTTCGCAATAAGAAAGCATTGATTGCTTGAAACAGAACAAAAGAAACCAGACCATATTGCATTCAGGCATATGGTTTGATTAATCGTTCGCTTTTTAAAACCCCTTATCATATTTTGGCTGTCAATTGGTGACACTTTCTCTTCATTGTCTTCGAAATAAAATGAATCTGCTGGTATCAGTACAAAACGAAAAGATGCAGATCAAACACACACATACACACAGTGACCCCAACCGAAATCGCGCTGGAAAGAGACCAACTTAGAATATGAACCAATGCCCTGTACCCGTAACTGTGCTCGCTCTGTATCACAAATGACCGATAAATCCGATCTGAACTGTCGCGAGGAAACAGAGTTTCATATTCCGAGTTCCACCTGTTGGAACGGTCACCCAGTAGTGTATGAAGATCGGGTCAGAGGATGAGCAATGCAAAATCCGACCACTGTCAATTGCCACCAAGTGCCGACGGTGTATCGAGCGTTGAAGTCCCGCATTCAGTTCAAACTATTCGCTGAACGTACCAGGTCATCAACCGAACTGACACTCAGGAGACCTCGAGGAGGGGGGAGGGGAGGTGGAGTGCGCGGGGTCGAACAGATTGTTTAAACGGCTTAGTCGTGTGTACTCAGAGCACAAACCGTGCGGTAAGCAACAGCACTGAGGTGAGGCGAAGCTCGGTTGGTTGATCGAGTGAAGAATTCGTCAACTTCATCAACAGCAAACCTCGTGTACAATGACGGCTCAAATATTTGTAAGAGTGCTGTACGTGTAGAAAAAATGGATACATTCCAGGGTTTTTCATTTGCGCTCCACACGGATTCGAGATACTACTTATCTTTGCATAAAATGTAATTCACTAAAATTGATCTTCCAATACAAAACTGACAAAGAGAAAAGACAGATGAAACATACTTGTGCCGATCTCAAGTCAAGTCCAAAAACGACTTATGCGCCGAACGCGGAGGAGGGGGTGGGTGGGTTTTCAGTAACATTGAAAATAGGGCAATGCTATTATAGGTACACACACACACACATGCTTTTTAAATTCAGGTAAGAACGAAGCGTTGTATGGGAGCCTCGGATGACTGTGAAAACGAGATTGAAGTATAAACCTCTCTGTGATCTGTACTGATGTCAGGTTTGCCTGGATCCTAATTTAAAGGAAAGATAGTAAGGGAAAATATAACGAGTAACTTTTAAAAATGATCAATGAATGCATTTTCACCGATTGCGAAAGGAAGAATGTGTTCATGGATTGTGTGGGCATGTTAATTCCCGGTTGCCCCGGCCGAGGAAGGGGAATAGCCTCGGGGT